TCCCTACACAAGTCTCATACCACTTAAAAGGGTTCATCCCAGGCTAGGAAACACAGGATCAAAAAAAGCCTGGTGTCTATACCAGACTTGCAAAACAGTCAGAGTAATTTACAAGCTCCATTGTAAATTTTTCTTCTAATAATTTTGTTTGTAATGTTAGTTACAAACACTAACATTTTTACTCCTGAGCAGAAACAAGCTCCTGTCTGTTGTGAATGGGCAAGGAGAACCAGAGTCAAGAGTACTTGTGGTTCTCTGCAAATAATAAACAGCAAAGACAATAAAAATGGCAAGATTATTCTATTGCAAGCTCTGTCACTGACTCATAGCAGGTCTTTCAACTTGCACATAGTTCTTATTATAGATGAGCAGGCTTGTTTACAGCGTGGCTAATAACACCTCCTTTCAAGTAGTACTTTAAAACCCTTGAATAAGAGATGTTTCATCAAATGTGATTTGCTAGTTACATTCATCATCTAACACTATGGCTGTGCACAGTGAAGCTGCTTAAGGGAGAGCCAGAAGAGAAATCATGTAGGAACTGCATTGATTTTGTTAGAGGTGGTCTGGCAGGAGACCAGGGACTAAAGTAACAGAGGCTGCAGTGGTTCAGAAATAAAGAAGCTGAGTAGATCTGTATAAAGAATTTTCCTCTAAACCTTCCACAGCGGCCAATTCTGGTAATTCCAGAAAAAGAATTTGAAAATTACAAACAAAAATCAAATCAAATAAAAATTCCTGTAAGGAAACTAAGCAAGCGGACAGAGAAAGGGAGAAGCAAACTTTCACAAACTTTAAGATTAAATGTGACTTATCACCTCTCTCAGTGAAAGCTTGATCTCCTCTCTCCTGGATCCTGCTAAACAGCTCTCCTCCCTCCATGCTGAAACAAAGAACACAAAAAGCCCCCCACCTTACATGAGCAGAAAATATCAAATTAACACCCAACTGTGCATCTGTATAATCACACAGAACCATGGCAGGAACAGATTAGAAGATATTACAAGCCTCCTATGCCACTGCTTCCACAACAGCACACTCATTTCAATCAATACATAACGCCATTCTGACATGGAATAAAGAGAAAACAAAACAAAACGAAGGAGTTATGATGCTTTTGGTTTGTGGTATTACAGGTCAAAGAGAGAACAGAAAAAGTTAGAGTCAAAACAGTAGCACAAAGGATCACGTCAGATCATAGGATTTACATCTGAAGTTGGAAGCCAATCACAATTAAAGCGCATCGTATTTGTAGAGACATATCTTTCAAGACTGTATTAATTAGCCAATGCTTCAATGAGAACAACTGCCATGGAGTACAAGGAAAATTTATTTTCTTGTTAAGGTTCCTCATTCTTCCATCATATGAGATGGCTGGAGAAGCTATACATTGCCCTACCAGTTCCACAAAAACAAAAGGTTTGCTGTGCAAACTAAAATCGTGCTGCTGAGAAGGCTCACCTAACTCCCATCTAACCCAACACATTCTCCCACTCCCTCCATCCCCTCCAAGAGCAGTGCTTGGTGGGGGACTGCTGTTGGTCCATACCATTCCATGACAATGAGGAGGCATCTCTTTCCATGATGTATATTCTCATAAACATCCAGGACGTGGACAATGTGAGGACACCCTGATGCTCTCCAGTGATACTCTACTTCCTGACGGGCTTTTGGGTTGTCATACAGGAGCTGTAAAGAAATAGGAGAGAGCAATATCAGTGAGCCAGAATCATTCTGCTTTAAACAGAGGAGAACCTCTGCTAAGGACAACAACCCTCCCACCCATCCCCCAGCTGCTGGGAGAAGAGACTTTTAGATGTAATGCAAATCCTTAAATTTCAGTGAAATTTAGAACAATAAGGACTTTCATACTGACTCTGAATGTGCTTCTCAAACACTACACAAATTTCTGACCCCATCAGGGTGGGAAAGAGACTTTTGACTACCTAGATGCTTGAACTTCTTTCTCTGTCACACGCAAGGCCGGTTTATTTTAAAGGTGCTAATCTCTAGAAAAGAGGTAAGAGCTCATCTTTCCTGACCCTCCAACCTTGTACACAAGAAATGTGTCCCTTTCCATTTGAAGAACTGCTCTGCATCAGAGCTTTTGTGAAACACATTGCTGAATCATGCCTTTTCTTCTCTGCCTTCTCTCTAGACACCACTAACACTTTGTGACAGAGACTCTCTCTTCACTGCACATTTATACGGTTCCTACACAATACGGCTGTGATTCAAGTTTGATACTTTATGCCCTGTAGTAATAATCATTGTAATGATGGAGCAGCAACAAAACTGATGCTATATAAAGCATTGTCAAACGCACTGAAACAGAATAAAAAACAAGCAAAGAGCAATCATCTCTGATCTATTCGCCTCAGAAAAGGACTACAACAACTGTGGGGGAACTGTTTCCAAACAGCCAAACAAAAACTATCATTGCTGCACTATTAGGCCTTAGCCTGAAGCTCTTCTCACTCATGCTTGTTATCAGGTCCCAGTCAAAACACAACTGCAAGATAATTGCTGAAAACAAGTATTAACATGTAACCTGTCATTAGGGACCTATGAATCAGCCCAGGAAAACGAGATTGTTTTTCCATCCAATTGCCAAGCCAAGGCACAAACGGTGTCACAGGCACCTCTCAATGTAGGTTTATTTAAAGGTCACAGGAAAGAAGTAGCAAATTCTGGTTTCTTTAATGACTCCAATACAGACAATTTGTATCATTGGGGAAAAAAGCTTACACTCTTTTGCTGCTTCAACATCCCTTCCAGCAAAGCAGACGCAGCAGCATGGCAGGAAAGGCCTGTAACACTTTATGAAATGCTGGGGAAGCACTTGGGAACCACTGGACAGAAGGTAAGAGGCCTCTCTTCTTTTCCAGGTTGGGAACAGCAAAAGAGTGACAAGTACTCCCCTGCCAAGTGCACATTTCTGTATTTTTGTGAAGCACAGAGAGGTTGCAGGAGGGTGTGAGTGGTCTCAGAAGGGCCGCGGGCTTCTTAGGTGAACAGGCAGCGAGCCTCACCACCGTGACCAACCCCGAGGCTCCCTCAGCTCTGCTCCAAAGGCTGCAGCATGACACCAGATTCTCAGTGGTGCAAGGAGCTGAAGAAGCTTTCTTGCCAAGTTCAGTGTCCTTGCAGCCAACCTACTTCCACAGCTGTCGTTCTGCACCCAAAGCACACCCTTTTGAGATCACTAACTATCCGCCTCTTCCTTCCTGCTCCAGCCTGGCTATGGCCTGATTTCCGACACAAATAACTTCCTAAAGAAAGAGATGGCTCCAATTTAGACAAAAAGCCCATTAGTGAGTCCAAGTGCAGTTTCTTTTACTTCTTTTCAGCCATCAGCCCATTCAGCAGCTTTTCCTTCACAGCCACTGTGTTCTAGCTCAGTAGGACTGTCTATCAGCATTTTCCCCTCTGCCCTTCTGAGTTTGGGCTGTTGCCTAGAGGTCTCTTTAAAAGTTCATTAAATTACGTGTGCAACAATAAAGCCCAAACACCCTCAGGACTAACCAGGACATTTAGAAAAGCATTACAGGCTTTACTGCTTGGATATTACGGGATTAATGCCACTTCTGAGCAGGAGGCTTCAAAAACCTTCTCACCTATCCTGTGCTACTAATTAGACATAACCACTCTCTTTACTAGCGTTAACTGCACTGTACTCTGTGTATCCTGTGCTTGCACAGTGTGCAAACATCTTGTTTCTCATGTTTGTACCAAGCATTTATGAAAATTGTCTCACAGAATTGAATTCTCACTCTCTAAAGAGCTTTTACAAGGCATTTTAATACACACAAGGATGCTGCAGTTTCTTTTCTCCACCCCTACAAGCAAGTTTCATATGCTCCTTAGTGCCAAGCTTGAATGTACTCATGTCAAGATGGCACCTGGAGAAGGAGAGAAAAGGAAATGCAAAAATATAGAGCAGATACACATACCAAGCAATGTCTGATATACCGACCAACTGTTAACCTTTGGATTTCTCCTTCTGAGCCTTAAAAATAGATTAAAACTCTTCCTTATGTCTAAAACTGGAAGCCATAACTATACCTTTTAAAACACCTTAGAGACATGGACATCTGTAATACGAAAGCCAGGCAGGGTTGAAAGCACCATTTTCTAAAAGGTTTAGGTGATGATGTAGAAACACAGATTGAAATTCTAGCAGTATGGTTAAATTTCACAAACTTGCAAAAAACATAAATGGACATTGTGCCATCTTCCTGAGCCTGAAGAGAGACTGTGCTCCTATTGCTGCAATAGCTTTGATAAGACTATGATCAGGTTCCCCTGACATTCTACAGCAAAGTGCAGAGGTAGTTGTGAACAAACACAGAGTTTCAGGTAAGTTTTCCAGCACTGCTGGTTCACACTGACTTGAGGAAAGAGCAGCTTTGTCAAACAGTATCAGCTCACGGAGCCTCCAGTCATCCCCCGAGAGTTCCCACACAGTTCAGCTGAGTCACAGCTTGTCATGATGGGCTGTGGGCAGGATCATGAACCAACCTAATTTCAAAACAAGCCAAACCCAAGAACACACCCCATCTCCCAGTTTTAGAACCACAGAATGGTTTGATTTGGAAGGGACATTAAAGCTCATTCAGTCCCAATCCCCCTGCCATCAGCAGGGACACCTTCCACTAGACCAGGTTGCTCAAAGCCTCATCCAACCTGGCCTTCAACACTTCCAGGGAGGAGCAGCCACAGCTTCTCTGGGCAACCTGGGCCAGTGTGTCACCACCCTCATAGGAAATAATTTCTTCCTACATATTTTTCACGAAGTCACATCAGTGATCCAACGTACAATTGCACAGCAGCCTGTGCATAACAGCGAGGGGATGCCCATGTGTGTAGTCAGGCAACACAGTTTGGAACAGGAGCTCCACAGGAGAAAACTGTATTTTTGCTGGAGCTCAGCATTACCAAATCACTGTCTTAAAGCAGATGAAGCAAGTATTAACAGTTATTCACAGAGAAACCATCAGAAGCAGAGGTGATGGAAGGCAAGAAAATGCAAGAGCTCTAACATCCTAACCCCTAGTGATTCACACAACTCTTCTCAATATCTCAAAAGCTGGAGAGGGAAGGGAGCTGCACCATAGGGTGTCTTCTATTTGTTTCTGAGGAACAACAGGGCAGATGTCAGCAGACACTCCAGGACACCCTTCGAATTCAGGGCTTGGCGGTGAAGGGAGGCCTGAACTCTAAATTCTGGGCTCACAGCTTAACTCAGGTTAGCAAGTGTCTGCAAAACAAAACAAATTCTACACTGCAGCTTGGACGGCCAGCACTGTGGAATTTCTCCCTGGGCAGAATTTCTTGATAGAAAAAAAATGGAGACTAGAAAGTGACATAGTATCTTCTAATTGCTTTTCCATTGATTGAGTGTTGTGTAAGCAAGGAAGGATAGCAGGAACCCTCATACCTTAATGGTCTGATCTATACAGGAAATAGCCTTCTAAGGACTCCAGGGAGCGGCAAGTGTTTTTCTGGACTCTGAAATTGTAACAACAGAGAGAGAAGATATCCACGGGCACAGGTACGAAACAGGCTGAGAACAGGAAGCAATGACTTCTTTGTGACTTTCTCTTTAATATGCACTAGCAAATGACACAGGTAACTATGACACCTGCTATCTGTCCCTACATAGGGGAGTAAGACCCCCACATATGCTTGTTTATTTATTTTATACTTCAGAATTCCTCCTAGTTCCAAACAGTTGTGTTGCCTGGATTAGACCTGTTACAGGCTCAGTTCTGATCTCCAGCGTGTGCCATCTTAAACCAACATCTGACACTGCAAAGCACCTTTTACTTACTTGCACCAATCTCAGAATCTGAACTCTTTTTCAATAGACAATTAGTTTTATAATCTCTCTACTGTCTTCCTCACAGGAAGGTTTCCTATTATTAAAACAGAAATGAGACGGGCAGAAACTTTCAGTCCTAGGGGTCCTCAACATGCAATACTGATAAATAGGCACTTAAATATAGCTTTATTTCTTTTTCTAGCTGAGAAAAAAAAAGTCTCTGCTCAGGCATAAGTGGGTAAATGTCCAACTTCTTTTTCTTTCTTTCCTCTTTGCATGTAGCTGCTACAAAAATGCTGAATCCTGCAAATAAGCCTTGGAATCTAAATTCACGCTGATGCACAGAAAGTAACACCATTTGCTGCAGAGCAGCTCTTCCAGTCGTTCTTTATTCAAGAGGGTTTGATGGCAAAAGGAGAAAAAAAAAAAGAAAAAAGAAAAAAGAGCTATCACTATGGCCTTGGACATTTTGTCTTTTATTACATCCTGATTATTTGCACTACATCTATTAATTCAGTGTTAACAATCTTTATCTGTTTCCGGATCATTTTGTAAGGGATAAAGTAATCCTTTGTGTTAGAACACTAAAGGAATTGAAATTATCAAGGTTTTCTTCTTCACGCTCCAGCACTGCCAGTCAGTCAAGCTGCAGCAAGAACCATGTGTCTTTTTGCAATGGCAGCCCAGCAAGCAGGAAAATCCACACACGCAAATATCAAAGCAAGCTCTGAATTTTTTCTTAAAATAAAAAATAGAACACATCTGCTCAAATTACTTAGTAGTGAAGCATCAGTCTATAGATGAGGGATAAAACCAGGGTAGGCACAGGTAGTGGGGTCATCACTAAATCTTTCACTTTTCTGCT